AACATTAATAGGTAACAAAATGCAGGACTATGTAGCACTTTAAAGACTAACAAGATGGTTTATTAGTGAAAAAAAAAAGCAGAAGAGCAGATGCATTCCCTGGACACGGAGGAATTTAAAACCCCGTAGTCTAGATGTAGCCATAGCCTCAGCTGGCAGAGGAGCGGCGAGGGCTGTCGGTGGGTTATGGCATCAGCTTCCCAGCAGTGAAGAGGGGAATTCAAATGCTGGTTCAGATTGCAACTGGCAATGAATTTGATTGCTTCCTACAGTCTGGGTGTTCCAGGTGAATTCCCTGGCCTGGAACGCTCTAGCTCTGGAGTGGAACTCGTCCATCCCAAACCCATGCTATGGGATGGCATGGATGGAAATCTCTGGTCAGCTGAGGGACCAAGAACAGGAAGAGCAGGGTGAGGCTGCACCTCTAGACTGGGATGTGTCAGCAGAGCTACGCCGAGAATGAGGGCTGGGCCTCACAGGGAATCCTGCAGCTCAGGATTGTGGGGCATTGATAGAAGTGAGTGAGAGAGCAGAATGGATGTCCCTCAGTTCTGAACTTGCCTGGTATCTGCCTACACTAGTGCCTTGAGCTCGTTAGCCCCTGCGTCCATCAGCAAACCAGTAAGAGAAAAGAAAGCAAGTGCAGAGACCTTACTTCAAGAGCAGACATTTGCAGAAAGAAGTGTTACCTGCTCCCAACTATCGGTAAGGACAGGGTTGATCTAGAGGCCAGATGACAAACTATTTCCTTTCGACTGCGTGATGCAATCCAGATGACAGCAGCAGTGAAACGAACAAATACACTGAGGTGACTTTCCTATGTATTCAGCAGGGGCTGGGAGTGCACTGCTTCTTCACCTGTAGAGATAAGGTCAAAGCACGACTCGATTTATCGGTGCAATGAAGTTTGCTTTCCTCCTTGTCCTCATGTGGGCAAGTTCCTGAGCCGTTTGGTATGACGGGCAGTTCTCATCTGGAATAGTAAAGGACACTGCGTGTCAGGGCAGAGCTGCATTGCGCTGCCGTGTGGGGGACCAGAATGCCGCAGAGTGCTGCAGTCTGACACTGAGATGGTTGGGGGGACCCCCACCAAGAATAGCCGGTCACGGTTGCAGTGCACGAGCGGACCTGCCTGTATGCAGTGTAAGCCCAAGGTATTGCTAAAACCATTGGGGGGCCTCCGAAAAATCCTGGATCCTGCAATTATAAGCTTTGCAATGTAATTATTTTTGGTTCCTCCTGCACTATCAGAAACGGGCTTCCAAAAGCAGCTCTTCTCTGAAGAGGAACTAGTCACCAGTGGACTTTTTTTAACCCTCACGTCAGCTGCTTCCTGCTCTGCTCTTAAATGTGCTGGCTGCTGCTGCTGCTCTTTACTTCTGTTAGCCCAGAAGAAGCCAACACTGGGGGGAGAATGAGCTGGAGCCAGATTAAAAATACCTTTACACCCATGCAACTTTCACTGAAGACAAGGGGAGCTGCCCACATGCCAGGCAAGGGCCACGTTACTATTAGTGATGGAGCCCGGCTTGAATCAAGAGTGCAGGGGAGATGGCTGCCCAAAACCCACATTGTTTTACTTTTACACCAAGCAAATATTCCGTGGGGTCACCGAAAGTTCCAGGACAGAGTTCCAGGAGGCCGTTTTTATGCTCACTTCTCAGAGCAGCATTGCACTGTCCGAGTTTTCAGTTGGGGATTATTATCACACAGGAAAGGCTAGAGGCTTGTTGCCTCCTTCCGCCTAGAATGATACGAAGAGATGGTAAAGAAATACTCCTTGCCCTAACGCGGTACAGCTGAGCGGCCCACTGCAAACTGCTGCCTGGCCAAGCCCAGCCTTGCAGAAAGCTCTCACTGCCCCCGAAGCAGCAGGTGGGTGACTGATGCTCTCGCTAGGCCGTGATCTTTTCAAAGCCTGGTTTAAATACAGACGCAAACCATGCTCAGCGCACGCACTGTGAAAACTGCTGTGTTAAGCAACAGTCCTTGCTGGGAATAAATCAGAATGTGAGTTTATGGTTCCAATGGGTATTTTAGGACCTCTTATACTGTGGGTAAATAACTTTTTCTTATTCACTTTTTCCATGCCAGTCATGATTTTATAGACCTCTATCATATCCCCCCCTTAGTCTCCTCTTTCTAAGCTGAAAAGTCCAAGTCTTTTTAATCTCTCTTCATATGGGACCTGTTCCAAATGCCTCATCATTTTTGTTGCCCTTTTTGGAACCTTTTCCAATGGCAGTAAATCTTTTTTGAGAGGAGGAGACCACATCTGTACGTAGGATTCAAGATGTGGGCACACGCTGATTTTATATAGATGCATTAAGATATTCTCTCTCTTATTCTCTATCCCTTTTTTAATGATTCCAAACGTTCTGTTTGCTTTTTTGACTGCCACTGTCATTGAGTGGATGTTTTCACCCCTTAGCCTCCTGAAATAGCGCTCACCAAAGTCTCTAATAACTCCTCTTACCTAAAGTTCAGAGCCAGAACTCCATCCTTGTCTCTTTGCCCTCTCCGCCACTCATTGGCCATGCTCTCCTTGAAATCTAGTTCTCCCTTTGCCTCTGCGACTCCCACTATGATTTATACAGAGCCTAGGAACGATGGAGTCATGGTCCACGGCTGGAGCTCTTATGGCCTGCTGTTGAAGTAGCAAGTGTGCTGGATTCAGTAATACTACTTATGTAGACAATGGCATGAAATGTCCAGGTATAATAGGATCCATACTATGCTGGGGCTAGCGCGGGCTGTTCCAGTTGAAGACCAGTTGAGGGAGGCTAAGCTATATTGGTAGGAACACATTCCATGGAGACCAAAGCATTATAGTGGTAGGATGGTCTTGAGAATCATCATGGATGGAAGATGACCAATGGGAAGCCCAAAGACTTGCTACGTGGACCATACCAATTTGCATAACAGCCAGTTGTTCTGAGTTTTGGATCAGGACTCTCTGTTGTTGAGCCTCAAAGTAGCAGCAGAAAAAGAGTACAAGTTGAAACTGCTCTAACTATTACGCCTACAAGTCTTGAGTAACTGATCTGGTAGCACCCCTCAGTCTGTGATCCTGGGGGAGTGCCAATCTTTCTTTTGCCACATTTTCAGGACATGAGTTTCTGTAGGGAGGCATAGCAGCTCTTGATAATGCTCTGAATAAGGGTTAAAACATACAAGATTTTGGTTTGGGATTTGGGTTTAGCCCCAAAAGTCAAAGTAAGGCTCAGGGTTTACAAACCCCTTGGAGCCCCAAATCAAAGAAAAGTCTCTCTTGGAATTCTTGCAAAGAGAAGACACCTTGTGTTTGCATGACTAGTCTCCATCTTGCTTTCATAACAGTCAAGAGCTCTTGCTGTGTAAAGGCTAAAACCAAGCGTTTGCATTTTATGCATCGGATTGTGGACTTGGAGGGTACCAACGCGGTACCACTTTTGCAGATCCAGACTAACACGGCTACCCCTCTGATACTTGACAACATGAATTCAGGTTTTCCTGGTCCTAGGCTGGTACTCTAATCACTGGACCATCCTCCACTCATCTGTCAAGCCCTTGCTATCATGAGCATTCAACTCATTCTGCATTTTTTTAAAGACAATTGGATCCTGATATTTACTATATCACTAGTATGTAAATATCACTATCATTTTCTCAGTAGTATGTATTATTTTGCATTTATCAGCATTGAATTTCATCTGCCATTTTGTTGTCCAGACCCCCATGTTTGTGAGATCTCTTTGTGACTCTTTGCAGCCAGTTTTGGACTTCTTGAGTAATTTGGAATCATCTGCAAACATTGCCACCTCACTGTTTGCTCCTTTTTTTCCAGATCTTTTATGAATATGTGCTGGTCCTTGCACTGATCCTGGGGAATTCCACTATTTACCTCTCCCCATTGTGAAAATAACTGCTTATTTCAATCCTTTGTTCTTTGTCTTTTACTCAGTTACTGGTCTATGAGACAGACAACTTTCCTTCTGATCCCATGGTTGTTTACTTTGTTTAAGAGCCGCTGGTGAGGAACCCTGTCAAAGACTTTCTAAAAATCCAAATCCTTTGGTATATATGGTTGTGACTACTTTCTTCCACTATTTGATCTGAGGAAGTGGGTCTGGCCCACGAAAGCTCATCATCTAATAAACCATCTTGTTAGTCTTTAAAGTGCTACATTGTCCTGCATTTTGCTTCAACTACCCCAGACTAACACGGCTACATTTCTATCACCAATCTGGAGGGGAGCTAGAGCGTTAGTGTGGGAACCTTGAGTCTCGAGGGCCACACTCACGTGAGCTGGGGTATTAGGTTCCTCACCCCTGCTTTAAAAACAAAACCTCTTACTCTTAAAAATCGATCCCCGTATCTCTGGTCGGACCACCTTCACGCAGGTCCTCCGGGATGGAAAACTGCAGCAAACTGGGGACAGAGCATCTTTCTCTTCCCCCCACCCTACCCTTCTCCTATTTATTTCGAGTTTTCTTATCCTCTAGTCAAAACTCCGGTTATCTGAAGAAGTGGGCTGTGCTCACAAAAGTTCATGATACCATCTACATGGTTTGTTAGTCTATAAAGTGCTACTGGATCATTTGCTTGCTATACCTACTGGATCACTCTTGTCCATATGTATGTTGATCCCCTTTAAAGAATTCTAACAGATTGGTGAGGCATAATTTCCCTTTACAAAAGCTGTGTTGACTTATCCCCAGTAAATCATGCCCATCTATGGGTCTGATTCTTCTGGTCTTTACTATAGTTTCAGCCAATCTGCTTCATACTGAAGTTAGGCTTAAAGATCTGTAATTGCTGGGATCATCCCTAGAACCTTTGGGGAAAAAAAGTAGTGTTCCATTAGACATCCTCCAATCATCTGGTCCAGAGACGGATTTAAGAGCTATTCAGTTTTTTATTTGTGTTCCTTCTGGACTTCAGATGATGCAGTGAAATGAGCAAAGTACAGACAAATGCATTTGCTAATTAGAGCCCAGCTGTTAGGCGTCTACACTTACCTGTGAGTCAGCGTTCCATGTTTCCATATAGCTTAGGAAGCACTCATCAGATGTGGGGGTGGAAGAGTTGTGGCCAGAAGCCCCAACTCTTGGAGAGGGGGAGAGAGCGGGATCCAAAAAGGAAGTCACCAGGGCCTAGATCGTCTCAGGCTTTAGGTGCCTAAACATCCATTAGGTTCCGGAGAGGCGTAATAGTGATCACTGTTCCTCATCAGTGCACGGTGCGAAGTCTGCAGCAGGGCCTCCTGTCACAAAGAGGAAGAACTCTGCTTTGATGAGTATCAAGAAGATTCCTTATTGAGGCTGCTGGATGCAGACACGCCCTGTGGTTCTTGCTGGCTTCCCAGCTCACTATTCAGTCATTGTTCTCCGGCAGCACTGCCCTGGGTTTCCCTGAGCCCTGGACTGGACTTTGAAGCCATGGAAGGAACTGCCAGTAATGCTCCCAGGAATCTGCATTAAGTTTCTGAGGGCCTGTCCCAACATGTACTGGGCTCAGGGACTGTCTCCCGGGGACCCTGGAGGGGCTAGTCTGAGGGCATTGCAAAGATGGTGGGTATAAAGGATTGCAAAGAAGAATCTTTCCCCCCCACACACACACAAAACACCCCAAATGCTCTTTCTTTCCACGTTGTCTAATGCAGACTTTTCTGGGAGCTGGTACCCCCAGAGCCCTGCCTCCTGGGAGTTCTTCCCTGTCACTTCTCAGGGATGGGCTGCACAGCTGGAGGGCATGCATGGCATCTGTAGGGCAAAGGGGAGGGTGGGGGAGAGGAGAAAGGGTTATTTCCTTGCCAGGGTGTCTCTCTGTCACCAAGGACGTGTCTAGACTACATGGCTCCATCACCAAGGACGTGTCTAGACTATATGGCTCCATCGACGGAGCCATGTAAACTAGTTTACCCGACATAGTCAATGAAGCTGGGATTTAAATAGTCCCCGCTTCATTAAAATAAACATGGCCACCGCGCTGTGCTGATGATCAGCTGATCAGGCACAGCGCATCAGTCTAGACGCAGATCTGTCAACTGAGGAAGCCTTTACCGACCCATCC